GCCCTGTCTCTCCCTGGCCTCCCAGACCCTGATCCAACCCTTCCTGGACTAACAGAGCGTCTGTGCTTTGCCCCCACCAAGAAAGATGGGGAGAGGAAAAACAACTGCACCCACCCTCCCCACTGCACACTCCTGTACCTACAAAGGTAAGAAACTAATTCTGAAGAGTAAAGATGGGGCCCATGTCAACTGGGGAGAGTCTGGAACAGGCTCAGGTGGCACCATTAGGATTTCCTTGCCCCACGGACAGCAGTGCCTCTGCTCAGCTGCCAGTCCAATCCCATTTACCTACAACCAGAGCGCCCCCTGCCCCTCACAGCTGATCTTATAAGCAAGACCTCCAAGCAATCCTTCCCTCCCATCACACCTTTCTTAGTCCCCATACTTCACTTAGGACTCCTCACTCCCCTGTGGGTGCCCTCTGTCTCTCACTTGGGTGCATTTGTCTCTGGGGCAGCTGTTGGCCCTGCAGGAGCTGGACCAGAAGGGGTGAGCTCTGGGTTCTGCGCTGGGGCACGCTCCTCTACTTCTTCTGCCTCCATAGGCTCCCGAGGAGGGGCTTCACTTTCGACGGGTTCTGATATTTGAGAGCTCAAGGCTACTGGTTCCGGGACAGCAGTCGGCATCTGCGGCGGCGGCTGACTGTGCTGGGCTTGGGGCCCCCCCCGACACTGAAGGTAGAGGAGAATCAGGACACCAAAGGCAGGATGAGACCACTGCAGAGCACCACTCAGGTCAAAAAAAACTGAGTGGAGAACATGCTCTAACTTGGCTGCTTGAAAGCAGAGCTTTGCGTCTGCATCTGACTCCCCAGCAACTAGCAAAAGACTTGCACGAATTAGGTGCACGATAAACATTTGTAATATTTGTAAATAACCGACCAAAAAAAAAGTAGACACTGTAGTTTCTAAACCTCCACAAGGAAAGATACAGAATAAGCAAATTGCAGCTATAGTACAAAGTAATGAAATTAGGATGTCCTCACATTAAACATAAGAAATAAAAAATTAAAACATGAAATCTTTTTTTAAGGGAAAGAAAAAAAGCCATGAGAATTATCTGAAAAATCTGAAACAAACTTCCCAGACACCAGCCACCGAGAGGATTCACAGGGACAAGATAGCCTCACAAAGATACTTTTTCTGCTCGAAAAAATGAAGACTACAGAGAAAAAACCAGATTAGCGAGGCAAAATTCTATGGATAAGGCCCGTCATTCCCCCACCCCCAGGCTGAGACAAAGAGGGTACACAGAGAAAGACACACAGACCCTAGCCATCCCTGCCTGCTTACCTCCATCCGAGATAGTAAGGTCTGTATATCCCTGATCATGTGCTGAGCCATCACCAGCCGAACTCGGGGCTCGCTCTGTGGCAAGAGGAGTAATGATCAGGGCAGGTTTGAAGCGGTAAGCTCCACCGCCTACTAAACCAGGTCCCAGCCATCTCCTCAGCAAGGTCCACCCCACCTCAAGGCCTCATTCTCCCAGATCCCCTTCCCTGACCCTCCCAGGCCCCACAATACCTGAATTGGGGCCTGTTCCATGTTGATGTGAACATCCACAGCAGAGCCGTCACTCTGGGGAAAGGGTAAGGGAAGTTGCTCTGGGAGAAGCCAAACACTAAGGCCCCCATACTTCCAACTCATTCTCTGGAGCCCCACCTCCCTTTCTCCTCAAAGACTGAGGCAAATATCAGACCACAGGAACCTCCAAACCCCATCTATAGACTGAGACACCTGTCTTACAAGCTCCCTGCTGCTACCACAACCAAATCTACCCTTACCCACAAAAACCCTCCCATGCGGAACACAAGCTTACAGGAAGATTGAAGGTTCCAACCATCACATAGCTGTTGGCATTCCGGTCATGAACAGAGGCCCCAGGACCCCGAGTACCAGGTGGGGGTCCCCCACCATGGGTAGCTGAGGGAGATCCTGTCCCAGAAGATGCCCCAGAAGAAGGGAGCTGAGTCTGAGGAGGAGCCCGTTCCACGAGATGGATAACCTTTCCTCCAACATCTGCAGTGCAAAAAAAAAGACACACACCAAAACATTGTATGATCAGGTAAACCCATGACCTCAGCCCATCACTCTGGCACAGCAGCCTCAACCTCTGAACTGCCATCCCCCACCCCCTTACTGTATTCCTGGAGCTTCTTATCATCCTGTAGAACACGACCCTGGTAGATGAGCCTTTGTTTCTCAGAAGGGATGCTAACAGAGGCAGCAATGTGCTCTTTAAACTCCTTTACATTCATCTGCAAGGAAAAACAGACATGAATAGAATCAGGGAACGGAGGGAAGAAGAAGGAAGAACAGAGAAGTGACAATTGACTCATGAGAATGAGGAGCAAAAACCATCATAAAATCACTAACCATTTGTACTGGCTGTCAACAGTTACCATGCAAATATCTGAGAAAACATCTGTCAAGATACAGTCAATAAACTTACGAAGCTCAGGTTACAGGCCCAAAAGAGAATTACACGGCTGAGAAACAGAAAAGCCAACTGACATTCCAATTCTCTCCTTCTATGCTTGGCTCCCAAGGGAATGTGTGTCTTGACATGCCAGAGGGGGTCACCCATCCACAAACACAAAACGATACCAAAAGTTTATTTACCACAGACAACCCTGTAATCTCAAAAATAACAAAAATGATGAAGAAAATGAGTGAGGAACTTGGTTAACGAAGGAAGATCCAACCAAGAAGGAAGCAAGAAGGGAGCATGAAAGAAAACACTTTTCACAGCTAAACACCTCTAAGAAGTACCATGGTGTTTATGTAACGTCTAATCACAAAAACCCATATGGTTTTCTTAAATACTACATATAATACCATGTTTCAAAAGCCCCTGGACGATTCGAATCCACTCACAATTTTGTCTCCAAGTATTACACGAATAAAAACAAAGATAACTGTATCCATGATATCAAACTCAACAAATTAAAAGTATGCCACAAACATTCCTAATTCCACTCAGCAGTCTATTTGGGCTCTACTTTCATTATGAGCTCTGATTTCTAGCCTTAAAAACATGGTACAGACCTGACTGATTTTTTGTGTTTAAGACATACTTGTGTTTTGGGTCCGTGTGTTCTCCCAAAGGCAGGAGCCGTGTCTGCCCCTTTGGGCTGACATCCACCTACAACGATGGGATACAGATTGCTCCTCCTCTGTATAACCCTCTGCAATGAGTTCTACAGAGGTAGAGGAAGGCAGAAAATCTGCCTCACTCATCAGAAACCATATCTTTTCACTCAACAAGAAACACCACAAACGTTTTGTATAGAATCTGAATGAATAAACAAATCAGGGGCAGAAAATTTGGAGGACCAGAAAATCAGGCTCTTCCCTCAGGCTAAGGAGCCTACAAAAGAGAGAGCTAATCGGTGTCTTCCAAAAGTGGTGAACTCTCACCTGGGCCCCCACAATAAAGGTCCGAGTCTGAGAGTCCAGGGTCTTCACCAGCACCTCCAGGCTGTCAGGCTCCTCCACAGTGGTACTGGTACTATCATTGGGTTCCATGGCCAACAGCTCTCTAGGGAAGAATGGAGCGAGATCGGCTGTAGCCCGGAGCAGATTTTATATACCCGGAAGCCTCCCCAGCCTGAGTCCCCGCCCCAACATCTAAAAAGTTTCTCCCACACAAGCACACGCACTCACACCCGCCCCCATCCCCCTTCTGATTCCAGGGCGCATAAAGAGAAACACAAAGGGCAGGGGATCGACGGCAAAGGGAGCTGGAAGACGGGAGATGAGAGGGGCTCCACGATGCCAATCACAATAAGGGCGGGCCGGTCGGATTAGGAAGCAGGAAAGGAAGCACGAGACCAATGTCATCACCGGTCGCGACAGGACAAAGGCCCTAGGGGTCGGCAAACCCTGGGACACTGCGAGACCGGGGGTCGCGCCAGACACTGCGGAGAAAGTGGCTTCGCGCACGCGCGCCACGCCCATCGAACCCGCCTAAGTCACGACAGACGGCAGACACTCACGGGGGGCGGGACCGGCTAGCTGATTGCCCCCCTCTTCCGCCTTCCCTCGGTGATCCAGCGGAGCGGCGCAATCAACACACAGCCAGACACACACACACACACACACACACACACATACACACACTCTCACACACACACTACTCCGCAGCTCCACCCCCGACTTCCCCACGGTACCGTCACTTCCGGTCTCCCCCAACCTGCCACCGACGGCCACTTCCGTTTCCCCGATCGTGTTTTGGGATCGCAAGGCGGTACTTCCGGCTCCCCCCAGGGCCCCAAGCTTTCCTTTTGTGGGATACGACGAGAAAGTCCGCAGCCCCCAAAGGAATGAATCCCTGGGGGCAAGACGGTCCGGGGCCGGCCTAGATGGGAGGGAGCCGAGCACCCCGAGGAGCCGCCACCGCCGTCGCCCGGGGGACCGTATTGCGCCTGCGTGAGTCGCACTACGCATGCGTACATTCTGAAGCACTTCCCCACCTCCCCCCGATTCTCCTACTCGAGCGTTTGAGCGATAGAAGGTTGAGGTGGCCACGCAATGCCTGAAAATAAATTACTAGATGGAACTCTAGGACTGCCTGGAGAGAGGCTTTGGACTGTTGCACGGCTCTTGAAATGTGAATATTTGACACTCTGCCTCGTTTAATCTTTGTTAAAGTCCTGGCAGGCAGAGACTTTCAGGCGGCACTGCTCTGGTCACCTAAAACTCTGCCTTCCTCTCAGTGTAGCCCTCGCTATGCCTTTCCTTCGGCCCCGTCCGGAAATCATATTTCCGCAGGCGGTTGGGGCGACTCGTGCAGTGTTCGTTCTTTTGCGTGCGGTCCTGTCGTTCGTCTGTCTTCGGTTCTACCCGGTGGGCGTTTTGTGGTGTCCGGGCGCCATGTTCCTTACCGTTGGTGCGCGGCCGAGGGGACACGCCATGCCTTTGGAAAGCTAAGGATGTTGCCAGCTTTCAGGAGTTTTGTCAAGAAAAGAGGCCTTTCCAAATTTGGTAATTGTGGCAAATGGAGTCACACTGGACCGAAAGATGAAACTCTGACTCGGGGCTTTGGCAGGCCCAGGCTGTCTTGGTTATTGCCCCTCTGTGCCCTTCCTTCAAGGGCAAGGTCCTCGGCCCCGCGACGCTACGACTCCTCCAGCTAGACCGTTGCTGCTGGGTTGCCTGCCGCAGGGGGTGCCTTTCCAAGATTCATAGCTTTTACATACCCAAGTCCCAATGAAAAGTTTTAATAAACACCTGTCTAGTGAGTACTTAGTTTGTGCCAGGCAATATATTAAAATTGTACAGTACTGTGGTCATATTTAAGCCTTTCAACATCTAAGATAGATGTTTACATCTATTTTATAGGTGAGTACGTGTAGGCGAACGTAAGTGGCAAAACTGACAGTCATAGACCTGCCAGACTGGCTCAAGCATCTCTACTTTGCTGCTCCAATAAGTTGAATTTTTATTTTTTACTATAAAATATTTCAAACATACCCAAGTAGAATAGTATAAGGAACACTTATATACCCATCACCCAGATTAATTTGTTTCTTTTTTTTAACTAAATCACAAGCCTATAGCAAACCGCCTCTCATGACAATTTTGTTGTTTGCAGTCTTTGTGTTATAAATAGGGAAGCCTCACCTCTTCGCATTAAATGTCTGCTCCACCCACTTGGCACTATCCAATTACTGCTTCTTGACAACTTTCGTTTCCTTTCCTCGTATTACTTGAGAACTTATTACCCACCAGAAACTAGTAAGTGTTTTGCAAATATTACTATTAATTACAGTGACTATTTACCTTGAGTTTACCAAATGCAGGCATTTGCTAGGTTTTGTATGTATTATTTAATCCTGTGAAACTGATTATTTGCCCATTTTGCAGATGAGGAAACAGATTAATAAAATTGCTCAAGGTCTAGTAAGTAGTAGAGTTGGGGGTTGAGCCCAGGTCCTCGTGACACCAAAGTCTCTCCTGTTAGCCATTGGATTATATAGCCTCTTGCTTAGCAATAAACTTCAATGAATAAACTCACTTTGTCAGCAAACTTTTCCAAGGGTACAGTTTCCCCAATTACAAATTCCTTCAGAGAGAGAGCCTCCCACCCATCACCCCCCAGTACCTGGTTCATACCTGCTCTAAAGTACTTATCAGGTTGTATTGCAATGATTTGTTTATACAGCTGGTTTTCCCTAGACTTCTTCAAGGCCAGGGACTATGTCTTATTCACCCTTATGTCCCCAGGGCTTAGCCAGTTCCAGGCAAACAACTAGGACTCAAAACAAGTTTGCTAAGTGAAGGAATGAAGGAGTCAATCAAGCAGCCCCTCTTCAATGCTGCACAACATAGCAGGTATCCAGCTCAGATATGGATTGAGCAGCTCAGCTCTCATAACTCCTCAGAGACCCTGGACCTACCAGGGTATATTGTGGACTGGCTGCATCTAGAGGAGGGGGAGGAAGATCCGAATCCAGGCTTGGGTTGGAAAACAAGGTTGAAGTTACTCATTAGCAGATGAAAGGGTCAAGGGTCAAGGCAAGGGGGCTGGGAGCAGAGTGGACTGAGCAGCCAGCAGGGGACAGAGCAGTTAAGGCACCAGCCACCCCAAGCAGGGCATCGGATCTTTCCTGCCTGAAGATGTTCCACCAAATTTGGGCAGCTCTCCTCTACCTCTATGGCATTCTCCTTAACTCCATTTACCAGTGCCCTGAGCCCAGTCAACTGACAACTCTAGGAATGGATGGGAAAGAGGTATGGACTGGGAATGAGGGAAGCCTATAGTGGAGGCTCTGAGGACTCAGGTGGGTGGCCTAGGATGACCAGAAGCCTCACTGGGAGAGTAGGAAGAGGGTATGAGTGTTGTGATGATGAATGCAAGAATAAGAAAAATACTAGGACTGTAGTCATCAGCGTGGAGACATGGCAGAATTGGGAGTGGGCTGGTTAGCTAGGTTGATTGGGGAGGAGCAAAGAGGAAAAAGTCATTGATGACTCTGTCATAGATCCAAATGGAAAGAGGAAAGCAGCCAACACTCCCACCCCTAAGTCTTCCCAGGCTGGCTGATGAAGAGGTTGGATGGATCCTGTGATGGGACCCACTCTCTTTTGCTCCCCTAATTGTCTCTCCAGTTTCCAGAGCCCCACCTGGGCCAGTGGTACTTTATCGCAGGGGCAGCTCCCACCAGAGAAGAACTGGCCACTTTTGACCCTGTGGACAACATTGTCTTCAACATGACTGCTGGCTCTATCCCGATGCAGCTCCAGCTTCGAGCTACCATCCGCACGTGAGTGAGGAGGCAGTACCAGTGGGTGCAGTCTCTGACCAAAGTGTGAGCACCCACCTCCAAGAGCCATGCTCTTGGCTGATATATCCACTGTTCTTGGCCCACTTGGCTCAAAAGCTCTATTAGTTTCCCTCTGGACAGAGAGAGATGGGCCTAACCATCCCCTGGTAGCTTGAAACCCAAGGAGATCCAGGCTTCAAGGAGGAATAAGATGGAATAAATGGAGGCAGATGCTGTGTGGCTGGGGTGTTACTCAATCTCTCCTCCATGCCACCACCACCTCTGCAGGAAAAACGGGCTCTGTGTGCCCCGGAAATGGACCTACCACCTGACTGAGGGGAGCACTGATCTAAGAACCGAAGGTTGGTTCCCTCCAGACCGCACCCTCCCCAAATCCCCTGGGCTTGCTTGGTTTTGCATCTCTGTCCTCACCCCTTCCCCCCACCCACCCTCATAGGCCGCCCTGACATGAAGACCGAGCTCTTCTCCAGTTCATGCCCAGGTGGAATCATGCTGAAAGAGATGGGCCAGGGTTACCAGCGCTTCCTCCTCTATAGTGAGTAGGGTGTAAGGCAGGAAGGGTCAGAGGGAAAGGAGAGGGCAGAAGGGCCCCTCACTCTGGACCCAATGACATCACCCCAGAGAGGGCTGAGTGCTTCCATGAGGCCCTTACCAGGGTATGTGCTGAGGAGCAGGAGCTCAGCTAGCCTGGCCCTGCTCTGCCCTTCTAGATCGCTCACCACACCCTCCAGAGAAATGTGTGGAGGAATTCCAGTCCCTGACCTCCTGCATGGATTCCAAGGCCTTCTTACTGACGCCCAGGGATCAAGGTGAGGGGATAAAGTCCTACAGTAGAGGACAAGGACTGAGCAAGTCTTCTGGGAGTGCTGGATGAAAGGGGCTCATGTGACATCATAGGAGGACATGGCCAAAGCTGACATCATCAGAATGGCTATGCTGACACTCCCATTTGTGTCATAAGCTATGATAGCACCAGAGGCAGGTGGCCAAGGGCTGTGATGTCACCTGAGGAACCCAGGCTGGGCCCTGGGCTACTCAAACCAGGGGTTTCTGAGTTTATAGTGGGTAAAGGGTCAGACGTGGAGGGAAGAAGGCCTCAGAGATCCCTTTTTGGAAAGAAGGAACATGGTGGAATAAAGGAATGCATTCTTCCCCTCCCATTACCACCAACCTTGCTTGCGTCTTTCCTTGCTCTTCCTTTCCATCTTCTCTTCTCTTCCTCCTGCCAGAGGCCTGTGAGCTGTCCAGTAACTGACCTGTGGCTTCATCTGTGCCCCCAGATGGATACTGTGGGAGCTGCCAGGGTGGTGGTTGGGAGGAGACTAGCTAGAGACTTCCGACTCCCTTTCAAGAATAATAAAGATTATTTTCCAATCCTCATTCCTGGGTTTGTCTCCAGATAGCAATCCTACTCTCCATATTTCAACACTCCCACTAAACCCCCAGCTGGACGGCGTCAGGAAGGACACTGAGTGGTGGTAACTCTCACTTTGTAGTGGTATATTTAGGATTGGGTATGACACAATTTATTGCTGAGTGAGCAAACTCCTAACTCAAGTGGAACTGCAAACTCCAGTGCCTCCCCCATGCTGCCTGACCTGCCTGCATCATCCCCACTCCCTCTGGCCCCCATGAACATTCCTGCAGGCTCCCTACCCCCCGTAGGCCTGCATCCAGACCCCCCCCCAAAATCCACCTGCCTAGCAGCCTACTCTTCCAGGATGGCTGAGATCCCAGAATGCAGGAGATCCCTTGAGTGTCCCAACCATCCTCTTACCCCAGAAGTCTGTCTGTCCTGCTTCTGGTCTCCTCCATCCTTGGGGAGTTATAAAAGATAGAAAGAACCCTTTAGTATCCCCCCCCCTTTTTTTTTAATGAACTGGAGGAAATGTAAAAGTAAAAAGTGACGACAGCTGGTGAATCTAAGGGATGCTCCCACCATCCATAAACACAGAAGCCCTAAAACAGCCCTGTTCTCTCCTGTGTGTGAAGGGTGCTCTGTACCCTCATGCCCTGGGTTTTCTTCCCCATCCCTGAAGTTCCTGTGCTCCCGATCTGGGTCATGCCCCCCACTCTCCTCCTGAAGTCCACACTGTCTTCACCACTTGCCCCCATCCCACTGAGGGTAGGGTCCTGGGTCACGCCCCACCCCACAGTCACAGCCCCTTTCCCAGGTCTCCCCTCTGCTCCTCGCCCTCCTTCCCCAACCTCTCACTCTCCCAGTCAGTGGCCTCCTCATCCCCGCTGGGCTTCCGGAGACTGACAGCCAGCACCAGGGCCTGCAGGAGGCCAAAGAGGCAGGCAAAGTGCAGGGGATGGGCGGTAAGGAGGCTTAGCACGGCATGCAGCCCATGCAGGGCAGCCAGGAAGGACAGCAGCCCGTGAAGCCAGAGACCCAGTGGCCCGCGCAGGCCCAACGCATCCAAGGCTGCCCGCAGCGGCCTCGAGCACAGCCCCAGCAGGGCTGAGGCCAGCAGCTCCAACAGGTGCAAGGTCAGGTTGGTGGAGATCTGCAGACACTCCTCTGGGTCCCCCATGTATGGTGCAGGAGTCCCTGCACCACCACCTGACTCCCCCCGCAGCCAGCCCAGTAGCTTCTGCCGCCGACCTGGCTTCTCCACTGGGGCTTCAGACCCAGGGGGGCTCAGTCCCCCTTCGGGGAGCACCCCGGATCTCCTGGCACTGCCTGAGTCTACAGGATCCTGTCCCAGTTTGGCAATGGTCCCTCCAGCCTCCAGTCTCCCAGACTCTTCAGTGCCAGTGACAGCCTTGTCCAACTTGAGAGATTCCGTTCTTCTGCTCCCCAGGTGAGCAACTGGGGGGCCCCTGCTTGATTCTGGAGCAGTCCCAGGACTCTTTCGTGTCTCTGAGTCCTTGGCCTTGGGAGGCCTCGCATCTCCCACGGTTTCGGGGGCACTGTCCCAGTCACTCCCTGAATTCTCTGGGGAGCTGTCCATCCGTCTGAGTTCTGGGGCAGACAGGTCGGGCTTCGTCGGTTTCGGGCGGCCCCAGGAGTGAGGTAACCAGCCACCCAGTCGTCGGAGAAACATGGCTGTGGTGCTTACTGAGGCCCAAAACTCTGGGCCCCCTTCCTGGCACTGCTCAGACTCTCAGATTGGGTCAGAATAACAGATGTCTGCTTGGTGAAGCCATCCTATTCTGAATTCAGAAGTGGCTCCCCACTTTCCCGGGTGGTCATGTAGCCTCAAATGTGGCAGGGGGCGGTAGCCAGTTTTTTTAGTTTGGGGGTAAAGAAGAAAGGCACATCCAGGTTCATTCACCCCCTACACACACACACACACACACACACAACACAAAAGTCTCAGGATCTAACAAGGTCTGGGTCACCCCCCCAAAGTGTCCTCTCTGTGTTTCTGAGTTCCTTCCCAGCAGGCAGCACCCCAAGTTTCACTCACCAAGCCACGCCCCAAGGTGCCCCAGAAACTGGGGAGGCTGTTCTCCATTCAAGAAGAGATGTGGCCCTGGGTCCTAAGTATTCCTGGATGTGGGGAGTCTTGAACTGCTGCCCTAGAGGAGCTCAAGGAATAGGAAGTGTCCTTGCTGGGGGAGGGGCTGTCCAGCAAACTCCAGCCAGCAACGTTTGTCTCTAGATTTAGGGGATTATTCGTCCTATGAGGTGGCCCGACCAATCCCCGAGCGCGCAGCCGAATCGCGGCCTCCCCAAGGTCAGGCCGGGGATGTCCTCCGTGATTCCAGTCGCGGGGGCGACGCGCGGGCCTACTTAAGGACCCAGGCGTCCCGGTGCAGCGCGCGGCGGCCCCTCCACGGCCTAGTGTGTGGCCGCGGCCTCGCAAAGCCACCGGGATCCGCGGTGCCCGGAAGAAGCCTCACCGGGACCAGAGAGAGAGGCGGGGGCGGAGCCTGCAGCTCCCGGGGCGGACCCTGAGAATCGACCGCCCCCGCTCACCACCACCCCACCCCCACCCCGCGCCGTCTGCGCGCGCCATTCGTGCGCCGTCGGCCTTACGCAGTGGTGCGGACCAAATTAGCTAGCTACAGTACAGGTCTGAACAGAAACCCAGTTCTCTATTTCTGCCGCCCGGAAGCCCCCTTGCTTCCCTAAACTCGAATGCTCCCCGCAGTCCCTGCTATTGGGTTCTTCCCTGCACACCAACCCCCAACCTTAGCCAGTGCTCCCTTTCGCGGATTCCCTCTTCCTGTCTCCCACTTCATAAAAGCCTTTTCCAGAAAGAAAAACGATAAGGGGAGTCTTGGAACTTGGGTAGCCCTTTCTTGTCACTCCATGCACAGAGTTTATTCCCTGGGTATGACAGTAGCGAACTCTTTTAAGTGCCTGGCACCTGCCATGAGCAGGACATGGAAGTGGGGAGTGCGAAGGGGTGGGAAAGACGACTGTAGACAAGTAGGATATGCTTTTTGTCCTCAGGAGGTATCAGCTAGTGAAATGAAGAACATTGGCTTAAAGTTAGAAAATCCTGTGGCGCAGTGTTAAGCGCTCAGCTGCTAACCAAAAGGTGGGCAGTTGGAACCCACGAGCAGCTCGGCAGGAGAAAGATGTGGCAGTCTGCTTCTATAAGGGTTTACAGCCTTGGAAACCCTTCAGGGCAATTCTACTCTGTCCTACAGGGTCACAATGAGTCTAGATCAATTGGGCTGCAGTGGGTTTGGGCTTAAAAGCTTAGAGTTGGGAAGGCCAGAGTTCTGGTGGCAGCTCAGCCAATGGTGTTCAAACTGGGTTGTCATAAGTCTCTGGGCCCTTCATCACATTCGACTCTTCCTGCAAGATCCAGCCCACTCTCATCACCTCTTCTCTGAGCCTTCCCTGATCCCCACCACCACCACCATGCAGTACAGTATCTGACTGCCATGCAATATAATATTTGACCACAGGGCTATCTCTCCCTCCACTCGTGAGCTCCTTGAGGGTTGGCAATGTCTTATTCTTAGCACACTGTATATGTGAAATCAGTGATTTAATTGACTGGAGTGGTCATGAGACTTGCATGGAGCTGCAGATGCTTCCTGGTTGTCATGGACTGAATTGTGTCCCCCAAAAATATGTCAACTTGGCTGGGTCATGATTCCCAGTATTGTATGACTGTGTAATCTGATGTGATTTCCTTATGTGTTGTAAACTCTTTTATCACTATGATGAGGTTATATGTGATCTCCTTATGTGTTGTAAATTCTATCACTGTGATGAGGTTATACTGATGAGGTTTACAAGATTGGGTAGTGTCTTAATTCAATCTCTTTTGAGATATAAAAGAGAGAAGCGAGCAGAGACACATGGGACCATCATACCACCAAGAAAGCAGTGCCAGGAGCCAAACACGTCCTTTGGACCTGAGGTTCCTGCGCAGAGAAGCTCCCAGATCAAAAGAAGATTGATGACATGGAACTTCCTCCAGAGCCAATGGAGAAAGCGTTCCCCTGGGGCTGAATTTGGACTTGTAGCCTACTGGACTGTGAGAGAATAAATTTCTCTTAAAACCATCCACTTCTGGTATTTCTGTTAGAATAGCACTAGATGACTAAGACACTGGTTCAGGGGGTTTGGAAGAATAGGTATGGTACTCTTGGCAGGGGCTAGGCCTCGAAGTGAATCACACTGGCAGGGAGATGACCCTATCATGCCATCTGGAGGTGGCTGCTCCTCTGGCTCCAATGGGCCTTGCTAATGTGGCCCCCAGACTTAAGCATGGCTTCCCCAAAACAGTATCCACAAAAATGAATAGATCACAAAAGAGGGTAAAGACTGATTTATTTCTCAACTCTCAGCCACTCCCTCCCAAAAGGCAGGGCCCACTGACCAAAAACTGAGGGTCTGAGACTTGGGCTGACCTCAGGAAGTAGATGCCAAAGTGCCCAAGTCATGGGCCAAAGTTCAGACTCTAGCAGCAGACCAGGGTCAGACCTCACCAAGCTCAGAATTCAAGGTTCATGTATGTCCTGAGATCTCGCTCCCAGGCCCTGCTCTTCTCCTCTCGCCTTCTCTCCTCTTTCTGGCTCAGCATGGTCACCCGAGGTGCTCGCTCCCTCCCAGCCACAGCCCGAGTATCCAAAGCCTGGAAGTGTGTGACCCGGGGCTGGGGTGCTGATCTGTAGCCAAGACCCTCCTGGTCCCTCTTGAGGACAGTAGGGATAGGGTTGGCACGACCCTCGCCTCGGGGTCCCAGCCCCATCCCTGGCTCCCAGCCCCCCCTCAGAAGCAACTTGAAGCCTGGGCTGGAGGCAGGCACCCCAGAGGGCAGGTTAGGGGGCCAGGGACCCTGGGACAGTGACAGCAGGTGAGCGGTGGATGTGCGGTGGTTGGCATCTTGGAAATGGGCATCACAGGTCTCGCAATACTGGGAGGAGTGAGAGTGGGACCTGCAGAGGAACAAGGAGTTGAGGGAGTGGGTTATGGGTCAGGAGAAGGGTACAGAGGCCTCGGGGGGGCTGACAGGGTGGGACAGGGTCTTTTCAGCCCTTCTGCAAAGGAACAAATTGCCTTCCTCCCCATTTAGCAATGAGGAACCCAGAGGGGAATGGTTGGGAGAAGAGATGGTAACCAGGCCTCATAAGGCTCTTGGGGGAAGGAAGGAATAACAGTAACAATGATTATAGTTGATATTTATATAGTGCTTACCATGTGGCAAAGGAGCCCCTGGGTGACACTAATGGTGAAGCGCTCTGCTGCTAACCAAAAGCTTGGCAGTTCAAACCCACCCAGAGGCCCTTAGGAAGACAAGCCTGGCAATCTGCTTTCAAAAGGTCAAAGCCTTGAAAAACTTATGGAGCATTCTACTGTGCACACATGGGATCACCATGAGTTAGAATTGACTCAATGGCAACTAACTACAACTATGTGGCAAGCACTGTTCGAGCAGTTTGCACATATTAGGCCATTTAATCTTAACAACTCCACGAGAAAGGTGTTACTATTACCCACCGTTTCTCAGATGAGGAAACTGAGACACATAGTTGTTAGGTTGTTTGCCCAAGTAAGTGGAGTCAGGATTCAAACCCAGGGAGCTCATGTCTGTAATCATGCTACTATACTGCCTTACCAACCTATATTGGGGGGCAGGGGTGCCCTCAACTCTATTCTGGGGACTTTGGTGCAGAGTGAGTAGGAAGAGCCAAACATATTGAAAGATGTGTGTGGGGTAAGGCTTCCTCACCGGTTCTCGGGGCTCCTCGTCTCTCCATGGCTCTCCCTGACCATGCGGGCCACCTCAGGGAAGCCAGCATCTTCAGCCAGCTGGGCAGCATCCCGGCCACCCAGCTCACAGACTCCCACCCAGGAAGCCCCTCGGCCCAGGAGATAGCGCACAGCTGCCCCCTGGCCCGCTCGGGCAGCACACATCAGCGGAGTCCACCAGAAGGCATCATGGGTGTTGATATTCCCCCCAGCTCCTCCTGCCTCACGGGGTTCCAGCAGCCTTCGGAGTTCTGCTAGGTCCCCCTCCTGAGCTGCCCTCAGTATCCACTGGGTCATCTTGTCCTCTGCCTCAAGGGATCCCTCTTGTCCACGTCCCCCTGATGCTGCCGCTGCCACTGCTGCCACAGCCTCCCTCATCAGTCTTCTTTTCTTCCTATTTCTCTCCCTTGCAGGCTCAGACTGTGATCTCTGGGGTTCAGGAGGGCTGCTCTCACTCCCAATCAGGGACTCGTAGAAAGCACGGACTGCAGACCCATCCAAGGCGGGCTCCGGCTCCTTAGGCTGTGGCTGCTGCTGCTGCTGCTGCCCATCTTTCCAGAGATCACTAGAATCGCTGGCTGGGGTGAAGGTGATGAGGGAAGGCCTAGACATGGCTTTTGCGAGAGCTGAGAAAATGAGACTGGGCAAGGGAAGGCTGTGACAAGCAAGCCAACTGCCCCAAGGCCCCTGCAGTGACCAGATCCACCACCAGGAAGCTGCTGGAAGGAGGAAAAGTAGCCTTAGAGTCAAAGATCCCCTCCCGCTCCAAAAGTGACCCCACAATCTAAGACCCGCCAGAGCCTAAGGGCCATACCAAACCCTTTGCCGTCGAGTCGATTCTGACTCATAGCAACCCTACAGGACAGAATAGAACTGCCCCACAGGCTTTCCAAAGAGCGACTGGTGGATTCGAATTGACGACCTTTTGGTTAGCAGCCAAGCTCTTAACCACTGCGGCACCAGGGCTCCAAGGGCCATAGGTCACATGTAAAAACAGGAAATCCGACAATAACAAACCTGCTCCTTACTAAATGTCAACAAAGAAAATTCCATGAGAGAGTTGCTCAGAGGTCCTACGTTCCGACCTCCCACCTCGCTCCCATATAAAAGTAATTACTAACAGTCTCTCTCGGAACTCACTTTCTCACACCGTATGACATACCTTTAAGATAAAAATTCAGCCTGGTTCTTTAAATCTTCATTGCTCCTATTTCGACGTTCCGTCTCTCAAACGATGAACAGTCGTGACACTTCTCCGGAAGAAGATTTCGGCAAGAGGCTCCGCCTGCATTGCTTCGTAGCTTCCGTACGGCAAAATGGCGCTACTCTAATCAAAAGAGATGATACAATCAAATAGCCACACCATACGAATACGCATGCGTCGCAGAAAAAAAAACCCAAAGCCATCATTACTTCAGAGCGCAGGCGTGCGCAAATCGCCCGGTTCAGTTTCCCACCCTGGAATCTTTCCAGTAGTCGATGTGCAAAGGGCCGCGTGCCCAGGTAGCGCGAGGACCCAGGAAGATCTGTCGGTTGGGGGCCTGCTTTTACATAACGCCCCACAATGCCCTTCGCCTCCCTCGAGGTGGCCCCCCGCTCCGAGTTCATTTTCTGGAGCTGGGAAACCATCCCTTTGGTTAAGAAAGGCACTGAGGAGGAGGAGGGAAATCTGTGGAATGCCGAGAAGCTGTGACATGAAATAACGTCACGCTACCCCTCACGCTTTCTCTGACCAGGGTTCGAAGGTCACACTTAGAGCCCGCAGCCGAAGGGCCCAGTCAAGCCCTAAGAGGATATGGAAAAGTGCAAGGGGACAAGCGCCAGGATGGCTGGTACCACCTCAGGTTAGCGCACTGAGCCGTCCCGGTTCTTACATCACTCAGACCAGACCAGCCCACCTAGGTCTCTCAGCACGAGCCGGGCCGCACCTCCCTCTTCAGGAGGCCGGGGCCCGGGGTGAAACGTGGGCCCTATGGAGAAGGGGAAGCTCCAGGCGCAGGCAAACTGGGGCAAGGGACCTAACAGGCGAGAAAGTCTAGACGGCCTGGACGAGACTAGGAATGGGACTAGACCCCTCGGGCGGAGGCGCTGCCCCAGGACCTAAGGATCCAGCAGTGAGGCGAGAGGCGGGGAGGGACTTCAGCCTGGCGCGCTCTTTCCTCCGCCCCGTTCCGGCCCCTCAGTCCTAGGAGCGTAGGACTATATTTCCCAGGCTCTCTGGTCTGGAATGCGGTTTTCGGTTTCCGCTTCCGGTGACGGCTCGCTACGCCCTCCCGCGAGCATCTTCCTCGTGGCCCCCGCGAACACTGGTCGTGTGCGGGTCATCCTGGGATTTGTAGTTCGCTTTTCCCTCGTTTCGCCAGTTTCTCCCTACCGGGTACTCTATTTCCCGGCGTCCACCGCGGCGCCCGACCCTTGGCGCTTGCGCGTTGCCCTTTTCCCCACCCTCCCCTACCGGGCTTCGCTTGCCGCGGTCGGGTGCACGGCCTTCGGTGTAGCTGTCGCTGCCGCCCCTTGGAAGCAGCAGCTCCTCTCCCCGCCCCAGTCCCAGCCCTTGTCCTGCAGGTGAGTCTGAGGTCGTCGCTGCGCCGAGCCTTCTGCTCCGTTGGCACTGCATTTGGGGTCTCTGCGCCTCGATGTGGGGGCGGGGAAGGAAGTGACCCGGTCCGGCCCTAAGGGTGTCCTGGGGGGCGGAGGCGGGATGTGCGGGCTCCTGTGGAAGGGGCCTGACAGCCACCCCCAGGCCGTGAGAAAAGGAGGGGCCGGGCTCTTGCCCGGGAAGGATAAACTTCGGGATCTTTGGGAAAGGCGCCGGAAACTTGCAGAACCCTACTGTGGTAGGGAGCCGAAGTCGAGGGCGCTGCTGGAGTTGACCCGGAAGGGAGAGGGGTCTGGCTTTCGGGAGCGCCAGGGATGTGGGGTAGGACTGGTGGGTCAGATCTTCTAGTTTCTCGCAAGTGGACGGCGCAGGATTTCTAACTGCAGAGAAAAGGGGCTGAGATGTAAATAAAAGGAGTTGGAGAGGGGTGCTTCGGAGTCTGAAAGCCTTTAAGAAAACTTGGTAAAAAAAAAAAACAAAAAAAAAAACCGTTGCCATCGGGTCGATTCCGACTTATAGCGACCATATAGAACAGAGTAGAACTGCCCCATGGGGTTTCCAGGGAGCAGCTGGTAGATTCAAACTGCCGACCTTTTGGTTAGGGACCGTAGCTCACCATAGCTCTCAACCATGGCGCCACCAGGCCTCCCCATTAAGAAAGGCTGGCCCCAAATTCTTTTGTGGTTGGAGGGCAAAGTGTGGGAGGAGGGAGGATACCAGAGACAGAGGGAGAGAGGGAAAGCTCTACGTTACCGGCTTTACTTACACCCTTATTTTTCTAGCTGACGTGAAGATGAGCAGTTCGGAGGAGGTGTCCTGGATTTCCTGGTTCTGTGGGCTCCGTGGCAATGAATTCTTTTGTGAAGTGAGTTCTTCTCAATCTCCCTAGTTTTCAGCACATCTCCACACCTACTCTGGCTCTAGATGTTTCCCTACGTATTCAGCGTTCTCATGATTTTGTCGTATGCTTCCGTGGAAACCCTCTCTTGTCAAGGAAGGGTCCCCTCAGTACCTCCCATTAACCTGTAGGGAAGTGACAAGACTGGTGCTCAAGTCCCAAGCCTTCTATCTTCCAACAATATAATGTTGGAAAAGTCAGTCTGTGTCTTTGTTATCACTAGAATAGTGTTAATAGTACCTGTTTAAGGTGGCTGTTAGGAGAACTGAAGTACTGCCTGTTAAAGTGTCTTGTAATGTGCAAAACTCAACATAAGAGATTGTAACTGCCTTCAGAATCCAAGCTGTCAGCCTCCACCTTCCTCAGAGAGCCAGCTGTCCTTAAATAGAGGACAAAACTGGTTCCTAGAGATGGGGCACAGGAGTAGGAATAGGGAACTTGAAAAGAATGTCTCTCTGAGGAGTTATTGTTAGAAAAGAAAGGCCAAAGCTTTTAGGGAAGGGAGTATGTAAGTACCTCTGCCGAGAGTTGGGCGTGGGGGCTTATGGGAACAGAAGCAGTTGTGTTGCAGACAAGGCATCAGTTAGAGCAATGTGACTGCGCCAAAGCCTGGGGTTTCTTTGTGCGTTCCTTCTTTACTTCCACATCCTGACAGGTGGATGAAGACTACATCCAGGACAAGTTCAACCTCACAGGGCTCAATGAGCAGGTGCCCCATTATCGACAAGCTCTAGACATGATCTTGGACCTGGAGCCTGGTGAGGCACCTTCAGGGTTGTTGTTTTGTTTTGTTTTTTCTCCTCTCTTTTCAAATCCGTACTCACCTGTTACTTGAATTTCTAAATTTCCTTTTGGTTCTTTGTTTCCCTTATCGCAAAATCTCCTGCCTCATTTTGATTCTCCATCTGGCTCTTGCCTAGTGACATGTACCACGTGTTCGTGTGCTCTCTGATTCTGTAACTTAGCTTTATTCCGTAATGTCAGTTTCCCCAAGTGTCTTGTTTTGTGTCTCTTTCTTCTGTCCTGCACCTTCCAGTCTAGAGTTCCACCTTTTGCATTGACATCTTTGCATTTACATATTGAGAAGGGAGTTAGGGGGAGAGAAGAGAACAGAGGCTGAAGAGGTGTGGTGGGAAGGCAGAGCTGCCTTGGGTTGGTGGAAGGGTCACAGACCCAGGTTTTTGGGTTGAATGTCCAGGTGATGGGTGGGGTGAGACTCAAAGATATGTGGTGGGCAAATTGAGTAGCCAGCAGCCACTGGGAGTGGGTGGAGCACCTTCAAGAAAGTTGAATGACAAGTGGTTGTATTTGGGCTGGGCCATGTTTCAGATGAAGAGTTGGAAGACAACCCCAACCAGAGTGACCTGATTGAGCAGGCAGCTGAGATGCTGTATGGATTGATCCATGCCCGCTATATCCTCACCAACCGTGGCATCGCCCAGATGGTGAGGCCTCTTTACTCCCACTTGACTCCTTCTGAGGCAGTAAGGGAAATAGGTTCCTGCAGCAAGAAGTCATACAAGGAGTCTAGCTGAGAAGAGGGGAAGAACCCCAGAATCTGAGCCTGGGAATTGAGTCCTGATTTCAGGCCGTGTTACAGGAGTTGTTTTCAGGAGGAAGATATGACCCTGAATGGGAAGGTCTTATAGACTGCCTCTTCCTCAGGGAACAAAGGGTGAATGACTCTGGTCTGCAGCCTGCCATCTGGAGGAAAGGAGGCAGTGCAATCTGAGGACCTATCTGGGCCAGAGAAGGGGCCTCTGGACAGAGGCAGAGGATTAGGGGACACAATGATATGGGTTGGGCTGAGGAGTGAGTCAGCATTAGGTGGGTTGCATCATCTCTTCAGATCTATCTACCAGTCCCCTCCATTTTATTCACCTCAGTTGGAAAAGTACCAGCAGGGAGACTTTGGCTACTGTCCCCGTGTGTACTGTGAGAACCAGCCAATGCTTCCCATTGGTAAGTGTTGGATAGGGGAGGGTGACATATGGCAGGTCCCCTGGGAATGTATTGGGACTTAGCAAGTCGGGGCCCAAATCCTGGGGAAAAGTTGGGCAGAGTTGGAGGGTGCCTGGTCGGCTGAGTCTGGCTGTCTCGCAGGCCTGTCGGACATCCCAGGCGAGGCCATGGTGAAGCTCTACTGCCCCAAGTGCATGGATGTGTACACACCCAAGTCATCGAGGCATCACCACACGGATGGCGCCTACTTCGGCACCGGCTTCCCTCACATGCTCTTCATGGTGCACCCAGAGTACCGGCCCAAGCGGCCCGCCAACCAGTTTGTGCCCAGGTGGGGAGCAGGGACAGAGTTACCAAGGGTCAAAGAAAAGACCCAAGATCCCCTGGAGATAAGGAGGGCAGAGCATGGCCCTTTTCTGAGGTCTGGTTCTCCCAGGCCAGGCTTCTCCCTTGGGCAAGTTATTTGATTGCCTTAAGCCTGTTTCCTTGTTTATAAAATGGGGATGACGACAGTATCTACCTGTCAGGGTAACTTTGAACATGTGAATTGCTTAGAACATTATTTGGCATCTGAAACATCATTTAAACTTTAGTTGTTGTCATCACCGGAGTCTCTGGGTGGTATGAGTGGTTAAGCCGTCATCTAACCAAAAGGTTGGCAGTTCGAACCAACCCAGAGATACCTCAGAAGAAAGGTCTAGCAGTCTATTTCCAAAAGGCCACAGCCATTGAAAACCCTGTGGAGTAGTTCTACTCTGCACACATTGAGTCACCATGGAATCGAGTCAGTGGCAGCTAGTTTGGTTTTTGGTTATTGTTATCACTGTTTTGGGTGTTCAACCTTTTACCAGGTTAATAAATATGATTCATCTTGCTGGGACATTGATTTTGCTTTAGTAGAAAAGAGAAGCTCAGTTTTATATTGTGACAAGAACTGATATGTAATAGAATTTGAGTTAATTGATGCTTAAGATACATCTCCAAATATTCTTGAGTGAAGAAGTTTGGGAACTGCTGCCCTTAAGCATTGAGCAAGCCCACGGAGGCAGAGAGGGTGGGGAAACAGGAATGCAGGCCACTCACCCCATGCCTCTCTGACCTCTGCCCGGCCCAGGCTCTATGGTTTCAAGATCCACCCGATGGCCTACCAGCTGCAGCTGCAAGCCGCCAGCAACTTCAAGAGCCCAGTCAAGACGATTCGCTGATTCCCTACGTGACCTGTCCTTCAGTCTTTTACACCGTTGTTCCTTTGCTGCCACCCTTTCAGGAATTCTTTATGGTTTTTAGTTTAAATTAAAGGGGTCATTATTGTGGTGGGGTTATGAAATAAAGTGGAAGAAAAGGCCATGAGCTGGTCTGCTGGTGCTTGGGGTTGGGGATGGGAGGGTAGCAGTGTGCTAGACCCTGGGACCCCTCAGGGCTCACCCTCCCCAAGTTGGAAACCAGATTTGTGCCCCATGGATTTGAGTGATGTTTTTAGTGGAGACCAGAATATAACTCCTAGGGCTGGATGTGAAGTGCAAGTTCGCAAGGAAAAGACCCAGAGAAAAATCAGGTTTCAAAGACTAGAAAAATATCTTCTTTTTGGGGCCATCTACAAGTGTCTGTTTATGCTTAAAGGGATGTAATCAACAGCATTGTCTTTCAGTTTTGGTTTTAAAGGGAAAGTGATCCTAAAGTCAACAGAACTAAGAGGTGGAGAGAGGAGGAACAAAGTCCAGAATTGCTGCTCAGTGGTGTGTGTGGGGGTGTGTGTGTGTGTGGCTTGTCTCAGAAACATGGGGATGCAGGGTTGCTGGCCAAAGATTCTTCCAGCAGCCTTGGTCTGGCCCTTTGTCTAGGGTAGACAGCAGGTGATCCCAGAGATAGACATACTAGTTCATGGACCCTCAGGATGGGGGATAGGGCTTTGAGGGGCATGCAGAACAAAAATAGTTGACTAAATAAAGGGCCAGATGGGGCCCAGGTATTCCCTCTGTCTGGGCCACTACTCCCACACTCAGGAACCAGACCTCGTGGGTGAGGACATGTTGTCTCTCCTGCCAAGTTAATAACTTCCCCTTGCAGCCCAGGGTCCTGCCCTGGGCAGGAGTATAGCTCTGCATCTACAGCCCTTCCTGCTCAGATTGCCTATCAAAACTAGCTGCAGCTCAGAATCAAGGCACGTGGCCATAGAAAAGTGGGTTTCAGGGCACCCCTCGGGGACTACCCCTCCCCAGAATCCCATAATGAACGTCCACATGCTTATAGGCATGCTGGTTATGGTGGGCTTCTCAGCAGAAAAGGGTAAGTGGGGCCGAGGGGCAGGGAGGAAGGGGTGACCATGAGTCCTGGAAGGGGGTGGGGCTGGATGCCCGGGTTCCCTGCAGGGCAGTGAACTGGGGAGCAAGCCAAGATTCCCACCCCTCCTCCTATCTTCTGCTTCCCCAGCTCCTGTTCCTGTTCCCGAAGTTCGGACCTGCCACTTCTGCCTCTTAGAAGACCCTGCTGTAGGTTGCATTTCGGGCTCAGAGAAGTGCACAATTAGCAGCTTATCCCCATGCATGGTGATCACTGTCTATTATGGTGAGTCAAGTCCCAGGAAGGGGCTGCGGGTGGAACAGCCCTGGGTTTGGTTTCCCCCACTTAGACTGCTTGGGCCTGGGGTGCAAGAAGAAAAGAGGAGGATCTTGAAAGGAAGGGCCTGAGATTCTGGGGGGCCAGCTGAGTTGTATCTTCTGGTACCTTCTGAAGGAGACTGGGATGGAAGTCACATCTGGGTGAGGGATAGGGAGAGTCATTGGTCAGAGTGCCAGGTTTGGGGACTATGGGAGGCAGCAAGGGTTATTGACTATCCCCTTTCCTCCAGATCTCAAGCCTCGCTTCATCATCCGAGCCTGTGGACAGTACAATTCCTACCGCTGCCAAGAACAACATAGCACCTACTTCTTGAAGTACTGGTACCACGCACAGTGCTGCCAGTACGATTACTGCAACTCCTGGTCCAGCCCCCAGCTCCAGAGCCACCCGTCTGAACCCCCCGACAGGCCCCTGGCCCTGCCCCTGTCTGAGTCCCAGATCCAACGGTTCTACCAAGCCCTGAACCTGTCCCTGCCCCTACCCAGCTTCCATGCTGGGATGGAGCCTGAAGGCCTGGACCCTCTGGCCACCCTGCCCCTGAGCCTAGGCTTGTCCATTGCTGACCTGCGCCACACATACCTGTTTCTCAACAGGTCAGGACTTTTGGTTCTTCCCCGGTCTTGGCCCTGACACCTTACCCCTCGCAGAATCCACCCTGTTTTAGCGACTCTCCCCTAACACCCTTAGTCCTGCACAGATCTCCCTGGGAACACCTACATTCTTTGGTCACCATGTTTTCTTGGGCCTCCTGCTTTGTACCTCCAACATTTACATGGGTGTGGTTTAATCTTCTCTGAAGCTATTTGGTGCTACCACCAGTGCTGCTCTTTCCTCCTAGAAAAGAATCTCAAGTGTGGATTCTGCCCAGGCTAACCTGGGAAAGGTACAGCTGTTTCCTTCATTCCTCTCCCACCATCTGAGTTCCGTCATCCCCCCTCATCTTCCCAGTCCCCTCTCAATCACATCATCTGCCACCTCCATTTGGATCCAGCTCTGGATCCCCTGTCTGTACCTGTCTCTAAGACCAAGTGCCAGGTTGAACTTGCAGCCAGAAAGATGAGGGGTAGACGTCAGTTCTGACTTCTGACTTGGCACTCTGGTGTCCGTACCGCACTCATCTCCACCACCTCCACTCCTGCCCTGGTCTGCTGCCCTCCCTCCAACATCTCTCAGCACAGTCTCTGGCCTCCTCAGCCCAACTTCACCCTCACTGAGTCCCATCACCCACCTCCAGGGGAGAGGAGAGGGTCTGTTCAACTCTGCTGCACATCTCCTGATTTCCCTCCTCAATAAACTGGGACTGGGCTAAGTCTGTGTCACTTTGTGGGCTAGGCTCAGGAGTGTGGGCAGGTGTAAGCAGGTTAAAGAGAATTCAGTATGGGATTCAAAGAGGATTGCAGAGCCCTGCCCACTCCACTTGGCCTTTGTGGCTTTCTCACAACCTGCCGCAAAGGGTCCCCATCTATCCCACCCCCTGTTCAGCTAGAGATCAAAGCATGGAGATTGTGACCTCTTCCAACCTTAAACATACCCTGCAAAACCTAGAAAGGTAAACCCAGGGAATGCCAGGTTTTTCCACCTAAGAGAGGAGGAAAGAAGTTTCTCTTTAAACCAGGAAGACTCAGGAATAAACCAAAGGATCTAAGCCCACATCCCGGAGTTACCTGGTGCTTTGGGAGCTGAGCTCTCCTGCCTGTCCTCAGTTCCTTTCCAGAATCCTGCTACCCAGGACCCCCTCTGTGGGAGTCCAAGTTGAGGGAGGAAAGTGCAGGGTACACAGGTGGGGCTACAGTAGTTGGATCTTTCATTCATTCTTTTAATGTTTTTGAGAAATTGTAAGCTTACAGAAAGCAATAATGAGTACTCATAACCTTTCCCATACGTTTAGTAAACACTGGACACGTACTGCTCTGAGCCAGGTCCTGTGTTAGGTGCTGGCACTTGCAAGTGAATACAGCAAAGTGTCCACCCCACCCCCAAGTCTCAGCCCAGCGCTGGGATTATAAAGCCTTTGTGGCTGGGAGGCCCAGTGCCAGCTCTGCCACTGGGGTAAATTGGTCTCTCTCAGCCTCACTTTAGTTACCTGTAAAATAGAGATTGTGCCTTACAGGATTGAGAGAATGCATATGAATGTGCTTACCTGGGGGCTGGCACGTAGTGCTCAGTGACCGTTAGCTGTTAAAGTTTGCGTATCAGGTGGAAGTTTTGGACCTTTCCCCTCAAAAAATACCTATGCCTTAGAGGCAAACACAATTTTTTTGTTCATTGTGCTTTAAATGAAAGTTTACAGTTCAAGTTAGTTTCTCATACAAAAATTAATACACACATTGCTATGTGACCCTAGTTGCTCTCCCCGTACTGTGACAGCGTGCTCCTCCTTTCCGCCCTGGATTTCCTGTGTCCATTCAACCAGCTCCCTGTCCCTCTTTGCCTTCTCATCTTATCTCCAGACAGGAGCTGCCCATTTAGACCCGTGTATCTACTTCAGCTAAAGAGCACACGCTTCATGAGTATCATTTTATGTCCCACAGTCCAGTCTAATCTTTGAAGAGTTGGCTTCAGGAATGGTTTTAGTTTTGGGCAACGGAGTCCAGGGGCTATGTCTTCCAGGGTCCTTCCAGTCTCAGTCAGACTATTAAGTCTGGTCTTTTTACTGGAATTTGAGTTCTGCACCCCACTTTTCAGGGACTGTCTGTTGTGTTCCCTGTCAGGGTGGTCATAGGTGGTAGCCAGGCACCATCTAGTTCTTTTGGTCTCAGGCTGATGGAGTCTGGTTTATGTGGCCCTTTTATCTCTTGGGCTAATATTTTCCTTGTGTCTTTTGTGTTCTTCAGTCTCCTTTGCTCCAGGTGGGCTGGGACAAATTGATGAATCTTAGATCGCCCCTCACTAGCTTTTAAGACCCCAGACTCCACTCACCAAAGTGGGATGCAGGACATCTTCTTAATAAGTTTGTTATGTTGTGCCAGTTGACCTAAATGTCCCCTGAAACCATGGTCCCCAGACCCCTGCCCCTGCTACTCTGTCAAAGTGTTTGGTTGTATTCAGGAAACTTCTTAACTTTGGTTTAGTCGAGTTGTGCTGACTTCCCCTGTAGTGTGTGTTGTCCTTCCCTTCACCTAAGATAATTTGTATCTACTATCTAGTTAGTGAATACCCTTCCCCCTCCCTCCCCACCCTCATAACCATCAAAGAATGTTTTCTTCTATGTTTAAACCTTTTCTTGAGTTCTTATAATAGTAGTCATATACAATATTTGTCCTTTTGTGACTGACTAATTTCACTCAGCATAATGCCTTCCAGATCCATCCATGTTATGAGATGTTTCACGGATTCATCATTATTCTTCATCATTGCATAGTATTCCATTGTGTAAATATACCATAATTTGTTTATCCATTCATCCTTTGATGGGCACCTAGATTGTTTTCATCTTTATGCTATTGTGAACGGTGCTGCAATGAACATGGGTGTGCATATATATGGCTCTTATTTCTCTAGGATATATTCCAAGGAGTGGGACTGCTGGGTCGTATGGTACGTCTATTTCTAGCTTTTTAAGGAAGCGCCAAATTGATTTCCAAAGTGGTTGTACCATTTTACATTCCCACCAGCGGTGTATAAGTATTCCAGTCTCTCCACAACCTCTCCAACATTTATTATTTAGTGTTTTTTGGATTAATGCTAGCCTTGTTGGAGTGATTTGCATTTCTCTAATGGCTAATGATTGTGAGCATTTCCTCATGTGTCTGTTAGCCGCCTTAATGTCTTCTTTGGTGAAGTGCCTGTTCA